AGGGTGGTGGAGGGTGGAGGAGGGTGGTGGAGGGTGGTGGAGGAGGGTGGAGGAGGTTGGTGGAGGAGGGTGGTGGAGGGTGGCGCTTCCTCTAGCTCCTTTGTGGTGAAGGAAGGCTTAGAAAAAGACACCAGGGCTGAGGTGATGGCTCAGAGGTTAGGAGCACCGACTGCTCTTCCAGAGGTCCTGAGTTTAATTCCCAGCACCCACATGGTGGCTCCCAACCATCTGTAATGAGAGCCGGCACACCCTTCTGTATATGTAATAAATAAATAAATCTTAAAAAAAAAAAAAAAAGACACCAGAGCTGCCACGTGCAGTACCTTGCTCCTAGAAATAGAGAAGTGGCTGAGTGTGTAATCTCCATCTCCGTCGTTTCCTGTTTTATGTCGTGGTCACCAGACACTGAAAAGGTAGAGGGTGAGGAGTCCTGAGCAGAACAGCCTGTGTGTCCAGGCTCTGCATTTCTCTTCCTTTGTCCCACAGCATTTTAAATTTTCCCGAGGCCTTTCACTAATCCCCAGATAAATGGTGACTGGGTAAGTGGAGGAAGAGGGGTGTCCAAAGATTAACACCCCCCCTTTCCTTCTCATCTAGATCTTTGAGAGAATTCTCTTTATCTGGGCCATCCGACACCCCGCCAGTGGGTATGTCCAGGGGATCAATGACCTGGTCACTCCGTTCTTCGTCGTCTTCCTCTCGGAATATGTGGGTAAGAAGCACACGCCGTGTTGCGTGTGTGCCCCTTTCCCATGCCATCCGCTCGTTTGTTTCCCCAAATGTGCCACTGTGGGCCGTGCCCTGCCAAGAACGACACAGGCAGCCCTCCGCTGTACCCAGAGCTGTCTGGGCGGCCGAGGCGGCCTGGAGTTCATCTCCTGAGAAGATCTCAGATCCCACCTACGATCCCGCCTCTCCAGAACAGCCGAGCGGGTGCTTCCGTCCTCCACAGACGGACAGCTTGATGGGGGCATTGGGGTATTTTTAGGATTCTCCAACTGTGTCTCAGACCCAGTGCCCACGTGGACATTGGAGATTAAGTACCAGCATCCAAACTCTGAGGCAGATCCTCCGACCTTAGTGCCTGTGCTCTCTCTTCTGGTGACGTGATCATAGCTGAACTCAGAGTCTTATCCTTGGTCTCTGATGGGCCGCGCCGCCCTCCATGTCACAGTGGGCAGCAGTTCTGTGGGACTGTTGTGTGTGTGCACGGGCTGCTTGTCTGTCTACCCTGTGACTGCAGAATGTTTGCCAATGCTCTCAATGGCCAGAAGAGGGCAGCAGATCCCGTGGCACTGGAGTTACAGGTGCTTGACCAGCTGCCCAGTGTGGGGGTTGAGAATTGTACCCTGGCCCTCTGCAAGAGCAGGAGGTGCTCTTAACCACGGAGCCAGCTCTCTACCCAATTGTTTTTTATCGTCTTTAAATGTATGCGTCTCTTTTAAAGAAAACTTCTGTTATTTCATGTATACAAGTGTTTGCCTTGTCTGCATGTGTATTTGTGCAGCGTGTGCATGCCTGCTGCCTGTGGGGCCCAGAAGAGGGCGCTGGTCTCCTGGAACTAGAGTTATAGACGGTTGTGAGCCACCATGTGGGTGCCGAGAATCAAACCTGGGATCTCTGGAAGAAAACTCTCTCTCTCTCTCACACACACACACACACACACATGTGCGCTCTCTCTCTCTCTCTCTCTCTCTCTCTCTCTCTCTCTCTCTCTCTCTCTCATTAATACTTCATTTTCTTGTATGTCAGGAATTGAGACTTAAAATTACTATTCCAGCTAAATGGCAGATTGTTTCAACACCATATATAAATTGCACACCTTTTCTTTATCTCTCTCTACTCCTTTTAAAAACACTTCTTGCTGGGCAGTGGTGGCGCACGCCTTTAATCCCTGCACTCGGGAGGCAGAGGCAGGCGAATCTCTGAGTTTGAGGCCAGCCTGGTCTACAGAGTGAGTTCTGGGACAACCAGGGCTACACAGAGAAACCCTGTCTTGAAAAAAACCAAGCCAAAACAAAACAAACAAAAAAACCCAAAAAACCCCACACTTCTTTAGTGTGTGTGTGTGTGTGTGTGTGTGTGTGTGGTGTGTGGTGAGGACAACTTGCAGGAGTCAGTTAGCTCTCTGCACCATGTGGGTTCCAAGAATCAAGGTGGCCAGCACCTTGCCTGCCAAGCTGTTTCACAGACTCCTAGAATCGACATTTCAAACCTGAAACCTTATTGTGCCCTGCCTCCTTTTCATCTGGGTGACTCCTTCCTGAGAAGCCGCCCTCCTGAAAGTTCTCCCTAAGACCCCAGGCCTACTGTCCCATCATGTCCGCCTGGAACTTACTAGTACCCCGTAGCTGAGTTATCTCCAGTAGCACTTCATATGCCACTATTTCCCTCTCCCCTCCATCACCAGACTCTCATGCTTGGAGGCCAGAGACGATCTGAAGATCCCCCTCCTCCCATGCCTTCCTTGTGGCTTCTACACCTACATACATATCCCATGGTTTGGGCACAGGATACTCCAAAACTAGTGGAGCTGTGCCAGGCGTGGCCACTGGGGGGCAGTGTATCACACTTCTGAGCTGTACCCAGTGAGTGTCAGGTCCGTCTTCGAACTTATGACGGGGTACACTTAGGGACTGGGACGGGGACCATAAGCAAAGCAAAACATCCTGCCTTCCACTCTTAGATATTGGTTCAAAGAGAATGAAAACTTATAACTCCTACAAGACAGAGCAAGAATATTCACAGCAACTTTATTCACAAACAAAAGCTGGAAATAACTGCACTAGTCATTCGTAGCTATTCATGCTGTGGGGTAGTGCTCAGCCACAAAAGGAGCTGCTCCTGATGCATGCATGGGAAAGCTCCTGTCGTGTGGTTACATTTATACAGAGCCCAGAAGCGAACAAAACCCGTCCGCAGCGCTGGAGGTCAGAACCCAGGGCTCTTTAATGGGGTCCCCAGGAGTGGGTGAGGAAGAAGCTCTCCTACATTTGTCATGGAAACTACTGTCCCCATTTTACTGTTGTTAACCACAGATGTGGGGACATACAGAGCAGAACTGGGCATGTGTGTATGTTTGTGCAGGTTTGTGTGGACAGTGTTCCTTCAGAGAGCTCTCCTCCTAGCGTCTGAACTGGTGGGGGGCTCCTTCGGCCTTTCTCTGAGGCCCCTGTCCTGTGCCACGGCTGCCTGGAGGACTCCACCGCAGGCAGAGTGGCTGGCTCTTGTCTTCTCCATCTCCTTTCTCCTGGAAGCCCCTGGGATTTGCAGTTTGCTCCTCTTGCTTCTCTCTTAAATGCTGAGAAAATTGTCCTAGAGCTGGTTCTCAACCTGTGGGCCGTGACCCCCTTGCCAAGCCTCTATCTCCTAGAATATGTATAATTGTAACAGTGACAAAATTGCAGTTATGAAGTAGCAGTGAAAATAATTGTATGGTTGGGGCCACCACAACACGAGGAACTGTATTTAAAGGGTCACAGTGTTAGGAGGGTTGAGAACCACTGACCTAAAGTGAAAACAAACAAAAAGACCTGTATTTATATATATGGTTGGGAGAGACAGATGCTAAGTTGGAAAAGATGGGAAAGTGCTTACTAGGTTCTGTGAAGTGTTGTCTGTCTGAGCCTGTTTTGTGTGGTAAGGACAAAATGCCCTCAGGCCTCTTGGCCGGTTTTTGGAAGAAGTGGCCACACCATCCGGGTCAGGATAGTAGCCCGGAGGGAGGGAGGTGTCGGATACCGTAGGTGCAGTGACCAGGTGCTTCACCGCAGCCTCGGCAGCTTCCACCTCGGTGGAGTAATTCTGACCAGCAAAGCAGAGCTAACCGTCAAGAGACCAAGAGATGCTGCTGGCTGGTCCCCAGAGCCGAAGGCAGTGAGGAGATGAGGAGGAGATGGTGGCGGAGCTGCGTCTGGAGAGAGAGTGAGGCAGTTGGAAGTTAATAAGGAAGGAGGGAGGCCCCAGGTCTGTTTCATCCAAATAGTGTGGACGCAAGACAGATCCACGCTGACTTCCAGCACCTGGCTTCCGTGGCCACTGCTGAACAGCTGAGTCCCACGAGGAAGAGCTGTGATTCCTGTAGTCAGTGGCATGAGGAGTGACTGACACTCTGAGGACATGTATCTGGGACTGTGGGGGTCCAGCCCCTCCATAGTCCCCTCCCAGGGTCTGGGAAGAATCTACAACCAGCTGATAATTAATCTTTGATGAAAAGAAATGAATCTATGTACATGAAATACCTTAGTCCATATACTTCATTATTCTGTGTCAGTTACAAGCTTATACTCTGCTCTCATATTTAGCTCCTTTCTTGCCCAATATCTCTTTACATTAATCTGCTGTCCCCTCTAGGTTTTATCTTTATTCCTTCATCTAGTTCTGTCTCTTCTAGGTTCTCATCCATCTAGTTCTTTCCCATATCAGCTCTTCTCCCATCTCCTTCTCTCTCGTCTTGCTCTTCCTCATCTTGTTCTTCCCCATCTGGCTCTTCCTCATCTTCCATCTCGTTCCTCTAGTACTCTCTTCTAGCCCTTCAATCTAGTTCTTCCCCATCTCAATTTGTTCCTCTCAAGTTCTTACCCATCTAGTTCTTCCATTTTCTTTTCTCTTCTCCGTCCTCTTGTGCCCTGGGAGTTCCGGTATATATACACTTACAAGCAGTAATCCCTTGGCAGTGCAAAGCCAGGCTTCCAGGGTCAAACGGAGGGGTGATAAGAATCACATAGGGAGGCAATAACCGTTAATTATCATGTGCAACCCCAAAGGGAAGTGACTAATGGGGAAATGGATTAACTAAAGGCTAAATTCAGGTAATATCTAAGAAGAGGGATCTTATGTGCTCAACTATAATCTTAAACGTGATTGGTAGAAAATGTTAAGAATCTATAAGTTGGTAGGTCAATGGGAAAAAATAAAACTGTCTTCTTTTTTCCTGTGGCTCATACCTGCCCAAGCTATCTGCCATTTTTCTGCAGGGTGGGAGAAAGTGTGCTTGGTCGCTAGGCAACCTGTGCACAGCTAGATGCCTCTGATGATAGTTAAAGGGAGATCTGGATAGTTAAAGGGAGGTTTGGAAAAGGAGGAAGTTAAGCTTAATTGGCACATCTGCCAGGCCTTCTCAAACAGGTAGCCTGGATGCTTAAGTCTGTTCTTAGAGAGTACAGAGGTATCTCTGATAAAGTACTTTCCTCCATCTGGGGATGGACCTGGCTGGATGCTGCCAATGATAATTACAGGGAGGCTTGAACTGGGGTTCTGGCTGAGCATAGCTGTCAGTGCAGAATGTTATCTAAATATTCCTAGAAGTGGTTAGGTAGGGAGTTAGAGGTCTATAAAGTTAGTAAGGCTGTAAGAAAGGAGGGTCCGAGCTAAATTGTGTAAAGCTATTACTTAACGTCCACCTGACCTAGGTGGTGTCTCCTTATGGAATTTACCTTAAATCAAGAGACTTGCATGTGGACTGTTATTACTGCTAGTCCTTGAAAGTGGCCAA